GGGGGGGGTGGAGGGAAGGACAGAGGTGGGGGAAGGGGTGCGGCGACGTAGGGCGGGTGGCGTGGTGGCCGGGGCGGCGCTGGGCGCTGTTGCAGATATGAGATAACATTCAAGCCCCCGTTCGAGCTGCGAAAAGGCTGACGTCAGTGAAAGCAGGACTGACGCTTCGTTCGTTCATTCGCTGTACGCTACCAGAACCCATAGTGTATCGGGGCCAAAGAAATGGCAGGAAATGTGTAGGAAGTGGTTGGAGGGGAGACTTGGGGGAGGGTGGTGTGGTGGTGGGGTCATCAGGGGCCAGCCGGCAGCAGGCGGTCTCGGAGCGCGGTGCTGCTCTTGGCGCCCCGGCACCGCGCTGACGTATTCGCGGCCCGCGGAAAAGAGTAAAAGGCCGTTTGAGGCGGTGTGCGCGCCCGCTGACGCGACGACGCGGCCGCCGAGACAGGGGAAGTCGCGGAGGCGTTGGTGACTTGCAGGCGATTGACGTTTAAACGACTCGGGAGGGCCACGGAGCCTGCGCATGATCCGGGCGCTCTCGAGGTATGGGTGGTGGCTGATCTGGTGCCGGCCGCGGCCGATTGGCCATGCCGCATCGGCGGGATCAAATCCGAGCGGCCTTGATCAAGTAACTTACTCCGCGCCACTGCCCAGCCAGCCCGCTCTTGTATTATTATCGACAACATTTTGATTCCACAAGAACTACTATGCAGTCTCTCTATCGAGCAAATCGACACACGTTTGTTTTGTGGTACGTACACGCGAGGCACGTGTGAGAGTCGCCACCGGGTCGCCCGGGTCCCACGAACCACCCAAGGCAAATTACGAGCGATAGGTGTGGTGTGATCGCTGGCCCTGGCTATGCAGATCTCTGCAGCATCACGCTTTTCCAGTTGTACGGGGAGAATTTCCTCCCCTCTCCTCGGCCTCGAACCTTCCACCACCCACTGCACCCGTAAGCCACCCCAGCTGACGCGGGACGCGGTTTCTCCCCCCTCACCCTCCCCAACTCGAGGCGCAGGGGAGAGGGTCGGGGCGGGATGGGGAGGGTAGGGTTGGTCAGGGTTGGGGTTGCGGCTCGGGTGAGGAGGGGAGGCCAACCCGCCAGGGAAGGCCAACGCTGCGCAGGCTGGTTCCTCCGTGTGGGCCTGCTTCAGGGCGAGGAGCGAGCCATCGCGGTACTCGTGCCCTTCCTCTTCACTACAGCTCTGGAGTACCCTATCTGAGGACCTTCGTGCGGACTGCGGCGACAAGCGCCTAGGATAGGAATTCATTTGATCAACCGCGCGACGGGTCGTCAGCGGGCGTATAGGTAATGAAAACCGAAAACATAAGGTTCTGCATCCTCTACTTTATTTGTTCCTTGTCTTGTAAAGATGTCATTTTCTGTACATACATGCAATAATAGTTTTTGCCTTTACATAGATACACATTACATGAAATACATTGGGCGATAATTTACATAATTCATTTTACATTATAAGGAAACTTAAAAACTCCTAACATCTGCTAAATAGCCATCTCTGTAAAATATTCTACAATAATAGAAGAGAATGTAAAAATAGACTCACAAAATTTAATTTAAGCTCCACTTAGGTACAGCACATACAGCATCAAGCTGTGATAAAATTTCTTAAAGATGTTATGGTTAAAATTCAACCATATCACAAAAAAGGTACAGGACACTTTGTTCTCAAAATTAATACAAAACATATAATGTCCAACAAGAAATAGTAATACTTTCCCTCTGTAAAGGAATTTGTAATAACATTCAATAAAATCTCATGATCTTTACTACAAACATTTCAAGCCAATAGCAAAATGCTATGGCTGAGAAAAAAAATAAATATTAAACAACACATCACACACTCAGCTAGTACAGCTACAACATGATTACAAATGCATAATACAATTTGATACAAGGACGTGCTGTTGGCTGACTATTTACAATACCAGAGCCAACCAGACTGAAAGACAAAACTTTTATATAAGACAAAATCTACAAAGATGATTGGTGAAAAATAATGGAATAAACAATATTGCCACATCAATGGGACGGCTTCTTCACTTTTACACTAATGTATAAACAGTGCCATATTGCATTTTACAAAATGATATTGCTGATTTTACACACATTCACAAAGGACTAATTCAAAGATACACAGGTAATTAATTATACACAATAATACAATCATGTCTACAAATTGATAGGGTAAGAGGACAAGATAACACAATGTATTGTTTATGAGCTATTAGCAGTTGGAGAGGCAATGGTGTCAATATCCCTCTGAGCTCTAGATATTTTTACTTTATCACGGGGTGTTCCGTCTTCACCAGTTTCCATAGCAAACATCTTCATCTTTTCTTTGAAGGTAAGTTTTTCTGGCACTCTAGATGTTTGCTGTTTCTGCTGTTGCTGCTGTTGTTCAGCTAATCTTCTTTGCCTTGGATCCCTACAACCAAAACGCAACAACATTTATACAAAAGAATGTTAAAAAATATGTACAAGGGAGAAGTGACCAAAATACAAGAGGATTTAGATAGATATTTTTCATTTGACTTTACCTGTAAACTTCTTGCGCCCCAATGACTCCAGGAGTTGATCCAACAAAGATACCACCAGGTCCATCAGGTGTCTTGGGTGAGGCCAGCATAGTCTCAGCCTCATTGATAAAGTGCTATCAAGCCCATGAAGAAACAAGAAATTAAACTAATGCCTTACTAGATGTATAATGTATACAGCATGAGAACTAGCGGTACTTACATTTGGGTCTTCTCTAATAGGTGGGGGCTGAGATGATGGTGGGGGAGGGGGCTGACTTGAACCAGGATCATGGAAGGAAACCCTCTTAGTAGAGCTTGTAGTCTGATCACCGGGTGTTGATACGAGACAACTTCTCTGCAGACCGCTGCTTGAAGAGGGCGAGAGAGGTCCTGAGCTGGGCGGTTGTCGGTTGGGCTGTGACATCATGATGGAGTAGGATGAGCCGCGTTCAGGAGGCTGAGGCGGGAACGCCTGCACCCGTACACAGACAGAAGATGGAAGAGTCACCACCACCAGAACTTAAATGCAAACTACTACTAATACAAACAACTACACAATGAGATCAGATGAAAGAATAAATTATTGGCTAGAACCTAATAATTTACTGCTTGTAATTATAAAAGGTTGAATTTACTACTGTCTGTGGCTATGCATGCATACAATATGAAAGATACTTACAGTTTTGTCAGATGGTGATGATCCGTGCAGCAGAGTATCTAGCCTCTGCTGAGGTCCTCCGGTGGGCGAAGTAGGGGTTGTTGCATCTGCATGGAAATTTTGATTGGAGTGGTTGTAGGACGCTGGACTGTTTGGGTAACCATTATATTGTTGATAGCCCTGAGGCGGCGTTTGCGGAGTAGATGGGCCATTCATCACAAGGTTTTCTAATCGTAGGTGACCAGCAGCAGGATGTTTGGCTGTTAAAGGGCTCGTGTATTGGCCAGGACGGGTCCCATTATTTTGTTGATTGATGTTGTTAATACTGTTATTGAATTGAACATTGTTCTTTGAAGGAGAGTTGAGAATGGACTGAGGGGGATGGTTTGCCAATCGTTGTTGTTGCTGCAGCTGCAACTGTTGTTGTTGCAGTTGCTGCTGATGTTGCTGTTGACGAATTTCTTGCTTCTGAGCCTCTCTAAGCCTCTCCTCAGCTTGCTGTTCTCGTTCCCTTTCCATTTCAGCCTGTTTTCTTTTCATGTCTTCAAGGCGTTTTTGTCTTTCCTTTTCTTCATTACTATAATTAAAAAAAGAAATACAAATTAGATGAGTAGACTAGGAGGCCTAACTATACATTTTCTTAGCCAGTACACTCAATAAATATGACTTACGGAGGTACAGATGTTCGGCCAATAATTCCATTTTGCTGGTTGTATGGACGTGAGTGAGCTGGTGATTGAATTGTAGGTTGTTGTTGAACATTGTGTGGAGGGGACTGCTGAGCTTGCTGCTGAGGAGGGGAATGCTGTTGCTGCTGTTGCTGCTGAGGTAGAGGGGGTTGGGCTAGACGCAACAGACCCTGATTCCGCTCTGGACTCTCCTGATGAAAAGATAATAAAAATAACAATGTATAATTTAGAAATATTGTAAGTTGCGTTGACTAATTTGAGACTTAAACTTTCTGGTAAAAATTTGAATAACAAACAATTTTAAAAAACACAACTTATAAAAGCATAAAATTATTACTGCTCCGTTGTCAGTTCTTTAACAAAATAAAAATGGTTGATATGTGAAGTAGATGTAATCATGAGGTATGAAGAGCTTGCATATATGTACACATAGTTATGAGAGGAGAGATTGGTTAAAAAGCATGGCAGACTAGCTGCCTTCTGTGGGCTAAGAACCAATGCCTTTGCCACCATCACCAAATTGTGCAAATGAAAACAACGCACATGAACACTCACATACACACACACAGAACAGTTTTTGTAACAGAAACCAGAATTCACAACAATAAAAGAATAATGAAAAAAAAAGTCAAACAAAACAAAACAAAAATGGGAAAAGAGAAAGAGAGGGAACAATGAAGGGTACAGTAAAACAAATACATACGGAATTGGGAAACGTAAGGTGGAAAATGTACTTGCAATACCAATTAAGTTAAGCAGAAAAAAGTAAAAGAAGGACATGAATGATTGTGGAATGTAATAGCACGAACATCACAAATGCTTCCATCCTTACAGCTTGTTGGTAGACAGGTAGAAAGATTGTTACATAATGGAGATAATCCTCTCACAAAACTAAGTATTTTCAAAAGAATAAGTTGTTTCTTGGATCAAATCAGGTTTTGATGAACTAATCAGTCTAATTAAAACTGCACAATTAAAGCTTCGTAAGTAGCAAAAATGCGGTGAATGAGACATGATGCATATCATTTGCATGATATTAGCAAAGTTGCTTTTAAGTAAATAAATGAGGATGACCATAAACATGTAAAATGATTGCAACTAAAACATGACACGTTGTGTAGCATAATAAATTAGCAAAGCTCTTTAAATGAATTTAATCACAGCACCCATAAAAACACTCACTGTAGCTTCCTCTTCAGAACGCAGCCTAAAAAGTTAATGATGTGTTACTATTGAACAGATGTAAAGTAGGAAACCCTCCAAATGAATGATTTGATTAGCCTAAACAGTATACCTACAGGTTCACAGAGGCACCTGGCACCTCTGTCTAACTTTGAAGAAAGAGCTACAGATAAGCCTACAAAAATGTTTCTGAGGGATAAAAAAATCCATCAGATGAGTGATTTTTTTCCAATACAAGATGGTGGTTAGATAAGTGCGACTTGTAAAACTTATTAAGAAGGTAGGCAATTGACTCTACTGTTCTTTACGTGACAAACTAGCTCAACATGTAATGTTAAAGTAGAGAAGCCTACTTGTAGATAGATAATCTAATTGATTGAATATGGCAGAAATGTGTAACGGTATCCCTCACAACTCACTTGATCATCCTCCTCCTCGTCATCCTGTCGGGCTTCCTCAGCTCGCCTCTGGAACTCGCGCTCCAACCGCAACGCCCGTAATTGTTCCTCTTGCTGTTGTGACCGGGATGGCATAGAAGAGAGTTCTGCAATCTGTGCGTCCCGCCATTGCCGAGCAGCCTCTCGTCGCCTGATTTGTTCCTATTGTGCGAGACACGTGTGCCAAACACAAGGTGATCACACAGAATGTTGGTGCTGACAAACTCTAAAGCTATGTGCTCTGTGAGCTGCTTTCACTCCTCACCCTTAGAAACTTTTGTCAAATCATAAATTACTTTATCGAAATTATCTTATTTTAGAATTCCCAATACCACTATTTGCAATTATGTGTAAGGAAATATGTAAGGGCAAGGAGCAAATAGTAGCTTCCATCACCTCATTCACACAACACACACATTCAAAAAAAAAGTGCAATTAATGCACAAGAGAGATATGCTATAAAGAATCCCCCCAGTCCCAGTACAGTTAACAAGTAAAATACTGAGAATAAGCATTAATTTAGAAATTAAAATGCATTATGATCATGGTAAAAATAATGTTGTGTCCTCAAAACACAACTTGGATTAACATAATTATAAGGCAAGATGCAGCCCAGATAATATTTAAGCAAATTCAGAAACAGATTGTTCAATTATCTATTAATATATGGTATTCAAAAAGAAATTAGGAGGTTAAGGCTAGAATGTGCTAAGCTGAGTTCAAATTTATTGCTAAGCAGATATGGAAAGCATTATCAGCTACAAATACTGCAGTCAAAAGCTGTCCATTGCCGACATGTAGTGAAACATTGCTCTAATGACAAGAAACTAGGTAGCTACGTTAATTGGCACTGACAGAATTTAAGCATGTCCAAAAATAAAGTCATATTTCACTTCATGTCACCATACACAGGTTTGTTGGAGGACTGAGAACTAGTAACCGCAACCATAGTCTAGACTTGATAGATAAAATTGTATACATATGTATAACCGAAAACACAACCACCCTACACCATAAACTAACTTTAAAACTTACCCGTTCCTTCTCTTCACGGTCCCATGGATTGGAAGCTGTGTTAAACTGGATGTGTCTCCCTGGCAATGTACCCTGGTTATTGGTATTTGGTTGGTAAAAATTGCCTCGAGGTGCACCCTCTGATGAAGCATTATATCTATAGAAACCAAGAGACGATTATTCACAGCGTTTGAATATAAGAGGTTTTAGGTTCTTAAACAAATACTGAGAAAACTCTATGTTTACCTAGAGTCAACAGCTGGAGAGGTTTTGTACAGGGGATGAGTAGAGGTGGGTGGAGGAGGTGGAGGTGGTGAGTCTCTGAAACCTTCTTCATTTGGTAGAGGTGGCCTCTGAGGCATGCCCATGCCAGGTTTCGGTGCAGTGGGTGGTGGATGAACCTGAGGCCCGGCTTGAGGGTAACCTTGTAATCTCTGCTGCTGCTGAGGACTTAATGGGCTCATCATCTGCAACGTAATATAGTAAAATAGTAAGTGCCAAGAAGGAAGATGGAGTCACAGTGGTCGGGTAGGTAAAGTATAGAAGAGCACAATGGCAAGCATTGAAATATTTTACCTGGGGCCTAATTGGCTGGCCTGGTTGAGGTCCCTGCTGTTGTCTTAGTTCTCGTCTTCTCACTTCCTCCTGCATTTCTGCAAGCTTGGCATCTTGTCTAACCATGTCACGTGAAGATTGTGACCTTGCTTGCATTCCACCCATACCAGGGATCATCTGAAAATTTCATTTTAAAAGTAGAAAAAACTAACAATGCAATGATTCTAGGAAGTGATTTTTGAAGATTTATGACTGAGTTCAAAGAAATTAAGAAGGTACCTGCGTATGCGGTGAGTTTTGAGGCAAATATGCTGATGCAGGTCTATCCCTGTGTAATGAAGATTGAGATCCACGAAGATTTGGCATATTTTGCATATTCTTCTGAATGTGAGGTGGGCTTCTGAAAGATTTTTAAGAATGGTTAAAATACAAGCTACCTCCCATCTCTAAAACATGTGGCATGTGGTATTAAATTTTAAATAATATTTACCTATCTTGCTGTGGTTGCGGCACTCCAGAAGGGTGCTGAGGACTAGGCAATTTTCCTCTTGATTGAGGTGGGTACCCATTATGCATATCCTGATTACGATAAATACTCAAGTTCTGATAAAATCGTTCACCATCAGGTCCCACTGAGTGTCCATTTGGACTGTGCTGAGATTGAGGTGGTTGTTGGGGTGGTTGTAGACTAGGGTTGGACATTTGTCTTGATCCGAGTCCCATTGGAGGCATAGCTGTGCCAGTTGGTGAGCGCGCATCAGTAAGATTTTGACTGGATCTTGATCTGAGTCCTTGAGGTATGCTGGTTGTAGAAGATGTACGAGAGTATCCAGGATTAAAAACCTCATGATGTGGTGGACGTCCAGCACCTGGGCCCATGATGGGGCTTATTGGGCTCATGGGACCCATAGGGCCATGGCCCATTCCACCTATGGCAGGACCATCATTGTGTCCTCCCGCTAGAAGGCAAAGAAAAAAAACAACATAAGGTATCTGGTCAGCAAGCAGTGTGAAGACACAAAACAAATTAATGACAACAAAACTAATCTACTTTTTCAAAACCAACCCAAGATGATGAATGAATGCAAGCTTAATATTAGTTGCTTTAAGGTACTTACTATTAAGCGAGGGTACTGATTTGGAACTGTGAATAGGAGCATGCGGGGGGAGAATGTTACGGCCACCATTTAGAGTGCTTGTGTTATGATTTTGCTCACTAAGAACTCGAGATGGTAAATCACGCTCACTCATACGTCTGGGCCCTGAGATAAAAAAGTGAAGATTAGAAAAAGAATGACACTTAAGAATGTAAAAAAAAATCTGCTACTATCAACTGATATTTTATGTTCTTAATGAGGCATTAGTGGCAATCACAAAGAAAAATTGCCAAAGGAAAATACAATGTTTAGTGATAGAAAACAGACCTAGAAATTAGAGGAAGCAAAGCCACATGCAAGTAATTCATGCAGAACAAAAAACATAAACAAAACCAACAAGGGTATCCTTTGGCAAAAAAAAAAAAAAAAAATGGATATAAATAATAAAAAGGAAAAAAAATCCTGGATTAGTAAAAAATAAATGAAAAGTAATATAATATATATCAAAAGATTGCAAGTGGTTTCAGTTGGCAGAAAAAGTGTCAAGTGCATGGAGTACTAACAAATGCACTTAGCATAATACTAAAACAGTCATTGAGTTTGATTGAGAGAATATAATCTTTAAATGAGCAGCTACTGCTCATAACTTAAGCTGCAAATTTAAATGAACATTGACATTGCTTATAAAACAGCCGAAATAATAAGGTGCATATTTCCAAAGTCATGCCTTTACTACTTGTAACCACTCACAAGGATAGTAATAACGGTTGAGATGCCCACAGTGTAGATGTCGGCATAACATTTCATCACTGATTGCTCTTATAGGAATAAGATGAGTGTGTCCTCCAATATACAAAGGATGCATAATGTGAGGCATTGACACAAATTGCCGAGCTAAAGTTGGCTTTGATGGATTATCAATTGCTTTGTTTCGCAAGTCTTCCACACTCTGGCAAGTTCTAGTCCGAATATAAGCTTCAGGAAATTTGGGTTTAACTTCCGAAATGGGCTTTGTAACTGAATAACGATGAACCTCAGAAGAGGTACCATGCTCTAAGCTGTTTGGTTTAGTCACAGAATATCTCAAGATGGATGGTGACTTCTCTCCATCGCTGTTTTCTTGAACACAAGAGAAAACGACACGCCGCTTTGGCTTTTTTTTCTGTAAAAGTGCTTCCTCACTTCTCGATCTTTCTCCCCTCATCAGAAAAGGCTGCTGAGTTTCTCTTGCAGTACTTGACACCAAACAATTTTCACTATTACTGCTTCTCATTACAGGTTCTTGTGCAATGACATGAACTGGTGGGTAAGAGGAATCAAGTGAGATCTTCTTCAACCTTTTCTCTTGTTTAAGTTTTTCAGGTTTGGCAGTAACATCAAACGACAAATAGGTGGAATCAAGAGAGGTTTTTTTAGTCCTCTTCTCCTGTTTGTTCTTATCAGATTTGTTTTTGACATCAGTTCTGTACATCCATGATGTTGAAACCTGCCCTGATGTTTCATCACTGGCACCTCCTTTCACTAATTTCTTCATGCGGGCCCACATATTTATACCAGGTTCTACTTTCAAAGCAAAGCTATCTTCTAAATCATCTTCAAACACTTGCCCAATCTCTTCTGTTTTAAGTGATTCAGCATGTAATAACCTCCTTAGCTGAACCCATGGACTGTCAGAGTCTTCAGAACTGCTTGAGCATTGGTCACATTGAGATCTACCGTTGGTATACTCATGAGCATTTGTTTCATTAACAAACACTTTTTCTACACACAAATTCTGGCTGCTGTGTGAAATATAGTCAGCACTGTTTGTAACTTCTTCCAACTTTTTAGGAGAAAGATTACTATCTTCATTGTGGTGAACAGTTAAGTCAACAGCTTTGAGACCAACAGAATAAACAGTGTAATCACCAGCAGGACGTCTCTTATCTGTTCGTGGACTGATATCAGGTTCGGACTTACTCCTCCTTACATTGCATTTCTCTGACTCACCGAGTTGAGTAAAATGACGAGCTAACTCTGCTACACGCCCACACCCAAATATCAAATCACGTGGTGAAATTTCATTAGTATAACTTAAGCTGCTATGGCATGATGAACTGGATGAGGTGTCATTTAATCTGCTCAGATCTAGGTTCAACATTGAGGAAATAAAGTCATCTTTCCACTTTACAACTGAAGGATTAGATCTACACACATCTATGTTTTTTCCTTTAACACTGCTAGTTTGTAAACCAAATGGTACTTTGTATTTAAAAGATCTATCGACATCAATATCCACTTCCTTAAAAGTAGCAGGAATACTTTCTAAAGAGCTAACAATTTCCTCAACCTCTCGAATTTTTTTATTCTTTTCTTCCTCAGAGAGTTTACTTTGTTTACTAATAGAGTTGGTTAGTTTCCCTCGCTTACTATGGATTTCATCTGATTGAACATTATTATTTCTACTGCTGATCAGTTTATCCACAGTGGCCATATTGTCATTTTCTGAGAACTTGTTTTCAATACACTCTGAATTGGAACAAAGTGTATTGCAGCTTTCAGTAATTTGCGGTGATGAAGAAAATGAATCACAGTCAGCTTCAAGTGTTGAACAAGTAGAACTTGAATCAAGACCATTTTCAGCACTACTTATTTCGTACACTTTCCTCCTGTCTAATATTTTAGAATTAGGCAACCCATTATCCAGCGGTTCTTGCTCTTCCCTCTTTGAAATGTCTTCTCTCTGTCTCTGTTCTAATCTTTCTCTGTATTGTCGAATCACCTCTGCCTTCCACTTAACAGACGGAGATGTATTTCCAGCAGAATTATCAACACCTTGCATGGCTTCTTTTTTGGAGCGCATTGCCTCTTTCTCACACTTGCATATTTCATCAGGTGCTGGATCATTCAAACACCTATTGTAATTTGTAGGCACTTCAAGATAAGAATGAGTAGATGCAGTTTCAGCCTCAGGTGGGGTTACAACAAATGTTGGCGTGATAACACCTCCACAGTTGCCTGATGGTGTATGTGAAAAATGATTGTTCTGCCAACTGTCCACACACATAGGGGTATCAAAGGGAGAAAGATATTGACGATGATTAGGATAAAAGTTGCAACCTAAGGATGTGGGACGGCGGGGAGCAGTTGAAGCCACACCTGGACAGGGGCGTTTGCTCCAATCTGGGAGTCGTTCATTGTAGCTTGGACGCAAGCTTCCCATAGAAGTGCTGATAGGCAAGCGGGCAGCTCTCGAACAGACGGGAGGAGAGGAAGGTCGAGAGGAAGCTGTGAGAAGTCAAGAAATGAGAATGACCAGAACCACGAAAACCAAGCAGAAAATGCATCACAGTGAATATTTGTCAAAGAATTAGTAAGGATTGGTTGATTTCTTTTTTTCTTCTGTGTGAGGCAATATTCTGATGAGGTTGTAAGAGAAATGCAGAAACCCAAAGCATTTTTAGTTGAAGAGAGAAAGCAGAAAACTTATTAAATGACAACATGTTTTCAAGAAGGAACGGTAAGTAATGCTTATTATTGGCTTATGACAACTCTTGATAATTGAATGAAATAATTCATGTTATTACCCAAGTTAGGTAGAAGAACTCATGCCATCACCTCCAATCTTAACCCATTTCCAACATATGACTTTGTTTTGACTTTATGTTGTAACTTACCTCTTCCCATAACAGGAGATGGTTGGGACAAAAGAGTGGCAAGACCATGATAAATAGCACCTTGCTTGGCTACTTCTAGAGTAACAACTGGTCCAGTGCGGACTAGATATTCAGCAGCTCTGAAGAATACAAAGCACATTAGTATCACCTAGGACTCATACTTAAATAACTCCTATTGCAGCACAAGCAACTTACTTTTCTTGAGTAATGCCAACCAAACTTTGACCATCAACTTTCAGCAGCTGGTCTCCTGCCTGAAGCTGGCCATCCTAAAGAAAATAAGAAAAATAAAGTGTCATCATTTACTTTTTTTTT